TGAGGGGCTCTTGATCTAGGGAATTGGATCTGTGCTCCAGTTCCCTGAATTAAGCCTGAATGCCTTCCATCCCCCCATAGGCGCTGTATAATCCTACGGGTTTAGTGCTTCCCCCTTGATTATAATAATAATCGACAGCATAATATAGAATAATCAGTTACAAACAAAAACACGAGATCGATAAAACTGGAAATAAAAAATAAGACATAAGTTACGTGAAGTGAAACATAAGCAATTAGTCAGGAGTGACGGAAGGATGAGCAAGATAAAGCAAAAAGAATTAGAGAGGTGATTAAAAACACAATTCGAATTTGTCGGACCAGGCTTGCAGCCTGTCGAGATCCCCTAGGAAGCTTGATCCTCGTCCACTCATATTCTCCTCATTAGCTTCACATCGTCTGCGAACAGGGACACCTCTGAATCTATCACTTTTGTCATGTCATTCATATATACTAGAAACACACGGAACCTAGGACTGACCCTTGTGGAACCCCATTCGATACATGCACCCACTCTGACACATCGTCACGTATCAGTACGCGTACTTTTCTTCCTCTCAGGCATTCCCTGTTCCATTGGAGTACTTTACCCTGCTATTCCTGCCTGCTCTTCTAGCTTTTCAACCAGTCTCTAGTGTGGTACTATGTCAGAAGCCCTCTTACAGTCCAAGAAGATGCAGTCTACCCATCTCTCTCTCGTCTTACTTCTGTTACCTTGTCGTAGAACTCCAGTAGGTTTGTGATGCAGAATTGCCCTTCCCTCTCTCCAGGTAAACTCCAGGTAAACTCCCTGAAGCCATGCTGGGTGCTCCACCACTCTTCTGATAATCTTCTCCATAACTTTACATAGTATACATGTCAGCAATATTGATGGGTAGTTTAGTGCTGCCTGTCTGTCTCCTTTCTTATAAAATCGGCAGATTCCCTGCTTTGATAGATTTATTGAACTTTGCTGTTAGTGGCACACTACATATGCTCCCTCTCTCAGGACTCACGGAAAGAAGTTATCTGGGCCCACCACCTCCGAGGTATCTAGTTTCCCTAGCAGTTTTTTCTCTATTGTGTGCAATGTGTCTACTTGCTGGTGTACCCTACCACCTTGGTTTGCTGGAAGCCTCTCTATCTCCACTGTGAATATCTCCCTGAATCGCGAGCTGAGCTCCTTGCATACTTCTCAGTAGTTTCCTGTGAACTTCCCTCCTTCCTTCTTCAGCCTAATTACTTGGTCCTTGACTGCTGTTTTCCTTCTGATGTGGCTGTATAACAACTTTGGGTCAAATTTGGCTTTTGATGCTGTCATTCTCATATTGATGCTGGATACCTCTTCTTATCTATATATATTCATTTCAGGCTCTCTGGCTCAACTCTGTTTTCCTGAGTCCTTTGCCTTCCATACGTTTTCCATACCCTAGCACATTTGGCTTTGGCCTCTCCACGCCTCACACTGGTCTTCCGCTTGTTTCTGTTGCCCCTTGGCACGAACTTCTTCACTGCCTTCCTGCACTTTGTGGTCACGTGTTCCATCATTTTGTTTACTGTCCTTTCCTCTAGCACTCTTACTGCACCTCATGCATGAATTGCCTCATACCTGTGTAGTCCCATTTTTTGGATATTTTGCTTCTCCCATCCTCCTTGTACTGCTTCTCTCCACTGTTAATTTTACTATGTACTCAAAACTCAGGATCATGTGATCGCTAGTGCCTAGGATCCTTTTGTGTGTGGTATCCCTTATGTCTGAATTGATCAAGGTAAATACAAGGTCCAGCCTTGCTGGTTCATAGTCTTTCTCTGGTTGTATCCCTAACATGTTGGTACATGAAGTTGTCTAACACTGCCTCCAACAACTGCCCCTCCATGTCTCTGGTCCCCCACGTGGCTCCAGATTTTCCCAGTCAGTCTCCTTATCATTGAAGTCCTCCATGATTAACCATGCACTGCTTATGTGGGCCCCTCTGGCCACCTGGCTATTGTGTCCACTATTTCTCTGTTGCTCTCATCGTATTATTGTCTTGGTTTCCTGCTGTTCGGTGGCAGGTTGTACATCACTACTATCATCACTTTTGGGCCCCCCAGTTTAAAGTGTTCCTACTAAGTAGTCATCCACTACACCTCTGACTAGTCCTCCCATCTCAAAATTCCATTGGTTTTTGATGAGCAGTGCAAATCTCCATCTGTTATCACCCCTGTGGGCTTTGTCTATGAATGTTATAATGTCTAGGGATGCCTCAGTGATTTTTTTCCTGTCACTCCTCACTCGTATTTATTATTCCATCTGCATTTGTGTATCATACCTTCAGCTTCCTTCCCAGAACTGTATTCTTGGGGTGGGAGGGTTTGGTGCAGGCTGAGGGGTGTGGTAGGCAGGTCTGGAAATTGTTAGCCTGCTGTGGTAGTATAAGTGCTAGGAGGGGGGGGGCTGTGGGTGTGGAGTGTTTCTTGGTTCTGGTTATTGGTTGATGTTGGGTGGTATGGCTTGAGGGGATGTTGTGGGTGGATCTTCAGGGAGTTGCTTGTTGATCCCTCAGAGGCTGCACTCCCCTGTCTGTCAGTACCTGCCCTGTCTCCCCTTCCTGCCTCTGGCATCTTTTTACTCTTTCTCTCAGTTGTTTCTTTTTGTGTTCTGTCGCAATTGAAGCACACTCCCTGCTATTTTGGGGAATCCTTAACCATAGTTTCCACTGCAGGTTCTAGCTTTGTTCCATTTATGTCTTGAATGTCATTTTGATTGGATGGTTCTTTTCCTTCAGGTACCACCCAAGTCTGAAAATTTCTCAGTTGAGTCATGTCCTCTCCTGTTACTACAATTATGCTCTGTCTCTCTTACTTCACCCTGTCTTCTTTCGTCGTAAGTTTTCCCTTCTGTCTCATAGAACCCTCTCCCTCTTCCCATTTTGTTACCTTCCATATCTCTGGGGTCAGATTTAAGTATCTCCTTAATAGTTTTCCTTATCTCTCCAGACATTCTGGTGGCCTGATAGTTTCCTCAAAGGACTTCTTTGCCTCATCCCCTCCTTCAATGTCTTCACTGTCCACTTAGGTTCTTGCACCCAGCACCTTATTCCTGTCTGTCCTCATCTCTATATTCTGCTTCAGCACTTCCAGTTCCTCCACCAGGCTCTGCATCCTGGACTCAGCAGCAAGAGCTCGTAACTCCCACTTAGTGCTCTCTGCAGCTATCTTCATTGTGTTGCAAAAATCGCTTAGCCTTTTTTTCCCACTCTCGTTCCATTGTGCTCTTGATCCTTTCTGTCAATGCTTCTTGTTCAGCCCAGCCATCCCTAGTACCCTTGCTTCTTCCTTCTGACATTTTTTTGGGGGGAGGGGGTTTGTGTGTGGAGGGGGAGGAAACTCTAGGAGCTCCCTCTGACCGACTGTAAGGAGCCATGATTCTAACATAACTCAGGGAAATTTCAGTCATGACATAACATAACACTGGCACTGTGGCTAGGTTCCGCTTTTGAAAAGGAGCTGAATCTCATCTCACTAGAGGACAGAAGAGTCAAGGGAGGTAGCACTCCATGACTGAATGCTAAGTTGTATTGTAAACAACACAACATACTGACATTACGGAGATATTTAACGAATCATGAGTACCCAAATAAGCCTGAAAAAATTGTTTACTCATGTTCATTTTTTATGTTTAACTAATAGACCAGTAGGGGGAGATACATACATAGCACAAGATACGAGAGGTACAAAAGGATTAGGGAACATATACACCAGTGGAGCGGAAGTTCGGAGACTGTATCTAGGAACTAAACTCAAAAATCAGTTGCAGACACACATGCGTTGAGAGACGTACAGACAGGTATGCACATTGGTACTGATGAGGATGGTAAGGGGGGGGGAGAGGTTAGTAGACAAATCATCAGTAAATGTGTAACGGAGAGACTCGTTCATTCCAATGTTTACCTTCCGACCCTCCTTGAGGGAAGGGTGTTACACCCGGGGTGTGGCAGTTTAGATGCTGTTGAAGAGTAGTTTTCTCGCACCTTTCACGCGCTCACGTTCTCTTGTGTGAAAGCATGCACGTTCACGCGCACACACAGAGTATAATGCTACCGATTTATTTTTAGAGAAATAGGGCGTTCATTGCAGCAAGGAGTGGATAAACTAGGTGTGACGGTATCAGAGAGGTGACAGTATTGATGCAATTTACGAGTAAAGGGGGTTTAAAGATGCAGTCGAAATGTTCAGTAGGATAGTGCCTAGGACGCTGCCCCCCCCCCAGGGACGGTGATGGGTCTTTGACCCCCGGGAGTGGTGAGGGGTCGCTGACCCCTGGGGATGGTGAGGGGTCCCTGCCACCCCGGGGACGGTGAGGGGTCGCTGCCCTCCGGGGGTGGTGAGGGATCCTTGACCCCCGGGATGGCGAGGGGTCGCTGCCTTACAACCCTTCATGGGAATGTGTCTATACCTGCCACCCATCACAGCCCCTGAACCACCCATCACAGCCCCCGCTAATCAAGAAACCTGTCAGCTTAGATAACTCACCCTGACTGTGCGCCACATTAACGTGGTAGTGAGGCTAGTACCTAGCGGTAGGTCAGGTTAAGTAAGATTCATCATGAAACATGGCCACTGCTTCCTGACGTTGGTCCGACTCCTGTGATGACCCGCCACAGGAGCTTTCTAGTCAACTGACCGAGGGCCTCCACTAGTTTCCCTTTAAAACTCTAGATAAAAGGCCTCGTCTGTCAGGGTGATTATCTTTCCCTGGGTGTTAGTCGAGAAGACTTGTAGCATAAATAATAATTTCCCTTTTGGTCGCGATTTTCTGACACTGAACTAATTAACATACATTGCGGAATGTGTTTTATTGTTCTGTGATTATAATTTTAAATACGAGTGAACTGGTTATGACAGTAGCCTGCTGATAATGATTGTATAAATTTCAGGCTAAAAACGAAATGTTTAAAGCATTGAATAACCAAACTGTTCTTGTGTTTTGTAATTATAATGACACTTGCACCTGGGTTGACTGACGTTGTTGTTGTACAGGCGGTGGTGGTGCACCATGAAGCCGGCCATGTGGTACCTGATTATGATTGTGGTGGGTTTCTTCTACGTGTACCTCACTGCCGTCCAGTACATCCGTGGCCAGGAGGCCAACCAACCCCCCACTAGCTACCAGCCCCATTACGACCCCCAGTACTACGATGAGAACCTTATCAGGTGAGTCTTACCAGTTCCAGTACTAAAAGCAGCTCATCAGTAGTATTAACAGGCCCAGTACAACCCCCCCTCCTGTACTGTGATCATAACTGAGGCTTTCTCACCTACCATCCTTACCAGATTAATATTGATAGCATTAATTCCACTTTGTATTGCATTTAGTATACGTGTCGCTGTTAATTCTCTCTCTCGCTTCCTTCTCCCTCTCCCGTACTCTCTTGGGAGGGAAAGTTACCAAAGTTTCCATAACTAAATTGTCTACTCTGGCACAGGAATATTGAGGTGTTATGTTAACCTACACAGACCTGAGCATCGTTGCCCTCGTGCAAGTGATGTTTACATTGTTCTTACTTCAGTATTGTCATCTGAAGTCATTAGATGCCGTCTTGCTTGACTATCGTATTTCATGACTCTTTGTATGGAGCATACGTTTACCTGGAGTTTACCTGGAGAGGATTTCGGGGGTCAACGCCCCCGCGACCCGTTCACTAAATACTTTCCACTTTTTTTTTTACTGGCCTTACACTGGAGTATTATTATGGATGCGGCTCTTCTGGGCTATGCTTCCATTTCTCTTTCCTCGCTCTGTTCTGAATTGTTTGTCACTGAAGATAACTCTCATGATGATGAACTTGACTCCTGGATCAATGTCTTCACTAATTACGCTACACAAATAACCCGCACATAGACATAGAGAAATTGGTTATAGATATTCAGAAATCTCACAGAAGGGAATTAATATTTTTTTTTTAGTATTCATACACAATGTTACTGATAAACCTAACCAAAGAAAATAATTTTAAGGAGGTCGATTAGATTAGAAACAGTATTAGGAGATAAAAAGTAATCTGCAAGTTGGACGAATGCCTTAAGAAGCCTGGGTACATCTGATTCGTTATAACATGAACGTAGATGAGCAGGATTACAGAGAAACTTTCAGTGTCAAGTGATGCAATAGCCACACTCAGGATCTGCTACACTTCTGATAGTTGAGTATATACAGTGTTGTGTGATGGTTCATGTAGGCAGCCTCGTGCTCACTTGTCCTCGGTTGCCCACTTATTAATAACTATAAATACAAAACAGTTAAGTCATGTGATAACTTAAGGTGTCTTATTAGAGGAAATAAGATACCAGGCATTTCCCGGTAGTAGCCTAAACTGCATTTTAACAGATGAAACTTACCAGTATTTGCTACTTAACTCTTGTAAAGCCTAGTGGCTAGGCCTTTTGTGTGTATGTCATATATTCTCTTCTCCTTTTACTTTTTTTCCCTCATCTTAAAACAATTACGTCACTGACGACCATGAAAGAGAGTACATTGACCGCCAGTGAAAAGTTCTTGATCCAAAAAAATGGAGCTATCCTCGCCGGGATCAAACTTGATTATCTCCCATGCGCCGTATACTCCTTACGGGCTTAGCGTTTCCCTGTTGATGCAATAATTTATTAGTGATAGCTTCTCTAATAGTGAGCACCATTCATCACTCAGTGCTTCCTCCTCTCTTCTTCCTTCCACATTTTCCTTTCCATCTCCACTATCTTTATCATTATCTACATATATTTATACTTTTTATTCATCCCTTGAAAAACTTCTACATTCACGTCTACTCTCCCTCATACTAACACTCATTTACCTTCTCCTCCCTCTTCCCCACCCTATTCCCTCCCGTTACCTCATCTCTCCTTCCTTATCTTTCGTTTCGCTTTCATATTCCTTTCTCCTTCACTTCCTTGGGTTCTCCCTACCTCTCCTCAGTCTCCTGCCTACTGCCTCCTCTTCTCTATCTCGTGTGACTCTCTCCGTTACAGCTCCTCCAACACGCTGGACTTCGAGTACCACAACTACGCCAAGATGACTGATTTCGTGCGTTCCATGAGCGCCACCTACCCGAACCTCACAGCCCTGTACTCCATCGGCAAGTCTGTGCAAGGTAAGTCCTCGCCGCTCTGTATTCTTTCCCCGAGTCTGGGTCACTTAGTGGTGGTGGGGGTGGCGGCGTTGGAGCGGCTTAGCTTGGCAGAGCCTAGAACCATTTTCAACTTCTTGGCCTATACAGCAGGGATTTTTTCGCATTTATTAAATTTTGCTCCGGAGGAATATGGAAGGGGTCATCTGTTACTAAGGTGGTTCGCACCACACACACACACACACACACACACACACACACACACACACACACACACACCACTGTTGGCTCGTGGACATTTCTGAGGTCACCTGCAGATCCAGGATTGGTGAATGGAGATATACCAGTTATGGTGTTCTTGTCAGTTTGCTCTCGCCCGTTACTTAATTCTATTCGTGCTTGGCACTCCGTCAAAATAGGCAGTACTGATATGCCTTACTGTTAAATCTGGGAGAGCCATCGTGGAGCAGTGCCTTAGTTAAAGTAACTGCTGGTAACAAAGTCGGTTGGCACTGCTTGTGGTGTCGGTGTGGAGTGTTGGGTGGGGGATGGAAGACTAGTGACAGGTCATTAGTTTATTACATTACTCATCAAGTAGTATCCCCTTTGTTTTGAACTTCTCTACTGTCTTCCATATCACTAACATTTGTCTGTCAAGACGACCAAAAGTTGCTGCTGATGCTTCGTCTTTGGAAGCTGCTCCCATGATCCCTGCAAGATCATGGTAGCGACCCAGAGACAGACTCGGCTGGACACAGTTCCTGGTCCTAATTCCGCCCTCATTTGAGAAGGAAATTCTGTGGATATTTCAGCGGTGGGCTCTATTTCTGTCTTGTTGATGGGAAAGCTGCAGTTATTTCTGTTGTGTTGATCAAGCTTTTTTTTCCGGCATGACAAGCATTTCGGTTGTGATTTATTACGATTACTGAGAGTGATATGTAATGTGCCTTTCTAGTTTCATTGGCTACTTTTCACAGGCCATTGAGCATAAATGCAAAGAGGGCAGCATAACTATAACGCAGCTCTGGCCAGGCTACAAGTTGATAGTGTGATGCAGAAGTCAGAGGCAAAAAATGTGGTCTTGTAGTTTAACATCTGCCAGATCTCGCCGTTTTGTTATGAAGACTTCTGGACCTATGCTGGCCCATGCACTCCTAATGGCGACCCGGTGGTGAATGTGCTTGTCATCAGTTAAGAGCCAGTATTGTCGCATAGTTTCTCCACTGCAGAGAAATAGAATAAATTAGAGACATGATGGGAAAAAAAAAACGTCATCAAGTATCAATAAAGAATCGCATTATATTGCTTTTCTCCTTTATTCCATAGGTTGCTCGAGCATGAGACAGGACAGACTTATGAATCATGGACTGGTTGTCCTTCTGAGAATTAATAAGATGTGTGGTGTTTCGGTGAATAATAATAGTTCGTCTGGCTGGTGACATCCTGGAGGGTTTCCCAAGATGCCTTAAAGCTGATGAAAGCTTGACACAACGTGGAAGTCTGGACACCTTCACTGTCTTAAGACTGTGATTTTGGGGTCTGTCTAGTTTCCCAACAGTTTCATACCTGCATATAGAAGATGAGGATGAGTCCATGTTACTCGCGGGAGTTTACCCCTAGATGAGAGGAGCCTGCAGGGCAGCCTTTTAAAAATCACTAATTTTTATTATAGCTATGAATAGAATAGTCAAACGTTGTATGCGGATGATCAGTAGTGTACTGCTCGGCGTCTACTCGTGTGGTGGTCTTATCACTGACCAGCTTCTGGTGACAGTAGACATGACGGAGTGGGCCGCTGCTAACTCATTACACAGTTTGCTCAGTGTGCTACTCCATGTTAAGGTCCTTCCCTATGAGCACATGGCAGTTTTTATATTATTCAGTCGGGGCCTCGTATGTGCCTCTCCTATAAAGCTCCTCAAACTGGATGATCTGTCAACGTTATACATTAAAGTGTTCTCGACCGTACCTGGGGGGGGGGAGACTGTGGACCGTCCTCTACCTGTAATGGTCTTGTGTAGTTTCAGGCCGGACTATGGGTGCTCCTCGGCCATTTTTCTCTGCTGCGCTTGCTAAATCCTGTTTATATACGACTTGCATGTGTGCTTTCCTTATTTTCCCGTTGATCCTCAAGGTTCAGTCTAATAAACTTTTCCAGATCTCCGCCATGATGAGCTAGATCTGTGTTACTTGTTTTGGGTTTGACGTGCCCATGGGAACCCTGAGAACGGAGAGCCCTATGCTTAAGTGTGCGAGACTTCTTGTACTGTTTGCTGTTCGGTTGCGGGCTGCTCTCCTGAATTGTGGCCCGCCGTCCTTGGACAGTGCCTTCTTAGCAGTGGATGGTGACCCCTAAGTGATGAGCCCTGGCACTGATCTTTGCACAAGTTTTTTCATGATAAAGGGATGAATGTTTTTACTGGTGGATCAGAGCGAGGGCTGTCGTAGTTTCTCGGGGATTGCTGGCGTGAACGTTTTGTGCAGTTACCACGAGTCTTATGTTCACGACGGTGCTCCACGCGATCCTTGGTGCTTCCACCCCGATAGTTGGCTAAGTTGGATCTCTCTTTATTGCTTACTCAGATAACCAAAGTGTTGTTTGCCCAAGCCCTACATACTTCTGTACATCCTGTGATCCAATATATCTAGGAGTGGTTAGCCAGTTCCTACATATCTACAGTTCACTTTATCTGTTACGTGCAAATTTAGGAAATTTGCTTAGTATATCTGGTATCTTATTTTCATTAATAAGATATCTTGACATGTCACATAGGTTATTATACTGTCTGTCTCTGTATTCCTCAGTAAGTGGACAATTAAGCACATAGTGTTCAAGACAGTGACCATATGCCCAATCACATAATTTGCATTTAGTTTGATCATCTGTATCTCCCAAACTACCAGGTCCATGTGTAGCAGAAGTGGAGTTATGTTGGTGTCTGGGCCGTGTTGATGTGCCATGAAATGAAGGCAGCTATCAGCTCTCTAGAACAGATGTGTCCTTGTGACGTGGTGGGCTGGGGGGGGAGGAGTAGGCTGCACAGACTGACAGCAAATAATTAAGGGTTCAACAGGACCTGAGTGTTTGGGACGTCCTCCTTCAACGGGAATCGTCACTTTGACAGTAATCTGTCGATTGTGTTTGACGAACTTGCAGTAGTTCATTGTCTGTAGGTTCTCCTGCCGACCCCCTTCAGTAGCTTGTGGTATACAGCTGATGTGAAACATGCGAACACAGTAATTTCATAATTTTCAGTTGATGCTGGCTGTTGTAGCTTAGTATAATAGTATTTGTAGTTCTTTTTAGTCATGCTAGTAATTTACTGGTAGTTTTATCTCTTTTTCTTGTGTTTTGTATTAGTTTTCATTGGCAAGAACTCTGAATGTTGTACAGGGTCATAGCGCCGTGTGGTATTACTAACCTAGCCAGCCACTACCAACACTCCAGCGGTAAGCATATGCTAGATACCCTGTCAATGTTCCCTCGGAAGCTCGCATGAAGGATTGCCATGTTTATCTTTAGGAAAAAGACAACTAGGTAAGGGGATGTAAGAGTGTAAAGGAGAGCGAGCTTAGAGGGAGTGGGAGGGGAGAGATGGGACAGAAGAGTGAAGGAGGTGGACAGTTTAAGTTAATGAGAAGGTGGAAGATGAAGCCACCCAGGATATACTCCCAGGGACATACATTAGTGATACTAACGAAGGGTTCAGTACTAGAGTTCATTGTACATATAGGCGAGTACAAACAGGAAGTGCGTCTCTGACGCTCAGCAGAGACGGAGAATCAAGCCTCCATTCCTGGCGCTGAATGACCCACATGGGTTTAGCGCTTAACACGAATTAAATTAATACTAAGAGTTCACAAAACATTAAACCCACACAAGAAACCCGCTGAGGAGGTTGCCAACACTGTTCCATCCCGGTGACGTCAGTGTTGCAGGAATTATACAATATTTACATTGTTGATCATTGATCTTGCGAGCGGAACTCTGGAGTTGGTGAAGCAATTATAACTTGGTAACAACCCTGACCTATTTTTGTGTGTGTGAGAGACGAAGTGAAGGTACCAGGACACTCATGAAAGCCACAAGAACAACTTTCTTCAAACTTGTGCAGTACCGCAGATAGTAATTGATAAATCTTGTTCATCCTAGAAGAGGAGACTCCCAGGCGCGCACCCACGCACGCACACGATCATGCAAGATCTCAGGCGCGCACGCACACGCACACGCACACGAACATGTAAGGTGTATACGAATGAAAGGAATCAGAATATTACTCATCACTATTGCGGAATTTTTTTACACAATTTCCTAAATGGAGAACATGTAAATAAACAATATAATGACTGTGTAATAAAATACGATGCTGATTTGACCCTTTCGAGAAATTTCGAGTGAGGGGGAGTGAACAGCTGCTGGGGGCCGCCTGGGGGACGCCATATTGAATTTAATGTGTGAGCATTGGACTTAGTTGTGCAATGTAATTCGGCATCTGAGGCCAAATTGGGGTGTTAATGTCCCCTGCTGAAGAATTGGGACAGGAAATTTGCGGGACCTCAAGAATTGCGTGTGAATGACAGAATATCACTCACAAGGAAGTGCACCATTAGTCCTTGCATTTAGATCACTAGCTGGCCAGTGTAGGGTCTAGGTGTTAGGCAGGTGTTGTGTGATCCATCTGCAGTAATTAAACGGTAAGTGTTAATACCAATTATATTTTGTGTAGGCAACAAGCCTACTCCTATACAGTCCACACAACTTTAATTACTAGAGTAGCTGGTTTTAATATATATTATAATTTATTAGAGGAAACCTGAGGGGAGAGGGTACAGTACAGAATATTTCCTACTGGTTATGTAGTCTGGGAACCTGTTATTCTATTCTTTATTATTCTCACTTTATTACCTGTTTATCCTCTGTTTTTAATCCTTTGTTTCTATTACCCTTTTTTATTTGGAAATTCTTTTTCTCGATCTTTTAAAAATCATATTAAAATTTTTAGATTTTTTTATTTCATAAGATA